TTCCTTGATTCCAAATTTATGCTGACAAAATACTGCCTCTCCCTCTCTCTCTCTTTTCCTCTCTGTTCGAGGTTTAAAATGAATTTAATTAAAAATTAATTATTTTTAAAGATCCCCAGTTGGATTGGTTATTATAAGAACTACGAACTCTCTGATATTTTATTACTTGGTGATCCCATCTAGTTATGTAACGTTTATCGGGCTCGAATTTTCTCTCTAACCGCCGTCCATCGTAATCAACGCCACGACTAATTGCCGAATCGTCGAGTCGTCTGCAGTTATAGATCGGGTTATACCGGTTATATCGGTTAATTCTACAGCGGCGGACTTATAAATATCGCACGATGCGGTAACGGCGGTGTCGCTGCAGAATCGGCGGCTTCCATTCACGGTGACGCGACAGGCACTTTGTTACACGTTACTTGCCCGAAGCCGGTCCTTCATAATCACCGCCAGCCCGGTCGTCGTCCCGATGGCTATGAATGACGAATGACACGGTCTAAAAGGACCTTTCGTCTCGCACGCCAAATCGAAATGTGATTCTTCCGCTCGTCCGCGATGCGTCGCGATACGCTAATCGGCTTCCCGCGGCGCAGAATCGGCGCTCGCGATTAAAATTCAAGTGGCGTACGATGATTATCCTCCCGTGTGTGTTGTTCGGATGTCGTCAAATTGGATTTGAATGCAACCGTGGAAAATAAACGATCTCGTCGCGCGCGATCATTTTAAAATTAGTATAATTATACGCTTCGCCGGCAGAAATTATTCAGGCAAATTCGAAATCGCTCCTGTCTTTTGAAATGAATAATTTGCAAGTATTTCGAGTTGATGCAATCGCCCCCGAAAGTAATAATATTTTGTAGTACTGTAATCACGCGCGCTGAATGAGTCAAAATAAATCACGGAGAGAGAAAGAGGGACAGAAAGAAAGAGGAACAAATTAATTTCATATTATTATAGCGTTACATTTGCGGTGAGACGAAATAATCGCCAGAGATGCAAAGTATAATACGTCATATTGTGTGCAACGCGGATGGAACGAACGAGATTCGTTGATTTGCACTTAGTACAAAAACAGACATACGACGCTCTTGTAAGTAGTTTACAATTAAACCTGCACAAGCGACGTTATCGCAAACCCCATTAACGCGAATGCCACTTCGCTTTATATCGCGCGACACCATTTAATCCGTCGTTCACATTCGGAAAGCGTCATCCGATCGATCGGAAAATACATTATTCCCGACGTGTGAGATGAAACAAGACGGTATGAACGATCGCTCGGTTTTCCCGAAGCGACGGCGGAATCGAGCCGCCTGAGCGTCGCAGTGAATGAAGCCTTTAAATTTTGCATAGACAGTCAAAAGCTCCGCTCGACTCTTTCCCATCTCCGATTCATGCAGCCGGTTTTCATGCTCTCATGATGAAAACGTCGTTAACACACTTTCCGACGTGTCCCATCTGGGACAGCGATTAATAATACGCTGACGAATATCGCAAGACTCGCTCTCATTTCGGAGTACTTATCCGTTACTAATCCAATCTCCGATATATCTATGCGATGTTCTCCCGCGGACTCGATATTTCTGTAATCTTCGGTAACCGTTTCTAAAGCCGCGAATGCAGACCTCCCGCAGACTCGTGAATAATTAATCCAAGTATAAACATCATGAGACACACCGCTGCTCATAATGGCTCAGAAACGAATATATGAATATAATGATGATGATTTTACGCGTTAATTTCCACTCCCAATTACTTGGATGTTTATTCATATTTCAAGCGTGCCGTTTAAGTGAATTCCAAACAAAATTATGTTGAATATTTTTCGTGAATGAGAGAAATTTTCATTGTATTTTTGATGTATTTCAAGTTTTCATGAAAAGTCATACGTCGTAGTCTCTTCTTTAAAATTTCTCCTTCAAATATTTTCACAAGGTGTATTTAGAACTGCAATTTCGAAATCACGACGGAGTTGGCTGTTGTATAATTTCATAAAAAAATTAACGGGATTACGTAAAGAGATCGCTTCGATACGGGTTATTTTTGTACACAGGCGAGGACGATGCAGAAATTGCCGGTCTCCTTAAATGCGGAGAGGGTACAGCCGAGAAGTTCAAAGGTTTCGAACACTCGAGAAAGGAAAGTTATATTTAATTTCTCGTCACTCGGTAATAGCTCTGACAATCGATAGGATCTTCTTAGCTGTGTATCGTTGTGTATTTATGACGCATCGTCTCGATCGACGATCGCATTAAAATAACTGCTCGCTCGTAGACTGTATAAAAATTCACCACCGATCAAGAATAAAACCGATCGCATGCGGAAATAGCATGCGCAGCGCATACGCGAGCGCGCTAAACACCGTGTTAACTGTCAATTCGACTTCTTACGTGCCAACTTATCTACTTCCGTTATTTAACAATCGGTACGTGACAATTATGCATCAAATTATTATGCATCAAGTGCGTTCAATACATGACTTGATCTCGTCGATTTAAATTATAAATTTATATAAACGATATGTTTAACATTACAGTTTAACCTTCGTACCATACAAACAGATAAATTGCTTAAACCGCTGTTTTATGTGAAGATTTCAGAACTTTATCGCGATTAAATATACTCCATTTAATTAATTACATTACGATAAAAACATTAGCATTCTTGAAAATCGTAAAACGTAACTTATTTAAAGAATTCGAGAATTCGTTATCATAATTTATATTCTCGATTTACGATATCTTAACTTTATTTCCAATTTCAAATCTCTCTCGAGAATTTTGCGCAAATAAAACATTCAATAAGTCTGAAGCTTTCGGACCTTCAAGTTTGAAATTGCTGGAACTTATCTTTAGATCATCTGATAATCGAATCTTGCAGGCGTCCGAGTTTAAAATCCAGATTCCTTAAATTTGAACTGATCGGATTTATAAATCGTCGAGATGCAAATCGAATCGAGAACTCGTTTTACGGTCGCACGAAAACCGTGTTCGACGGAGTCTCCCGATTCATCTGGCTCGCTTTCGTTCCCCCGATTCTGCCCGGCGGGATCAAGATCGGTGGTAATCCACGCACCACGAGGAGGACGCGATGCCCGCACGTAGGTGGATCGCGACGAATTCATGGAACGTCGCGATCGCGCCTCACCGCGGCGCGCCGTGACGATCGACGCACCGGTTCGGCGCGGTGCGTCATAAATGACCGATGACAGATTCTCCGAAGCCATTTCGTCTCGCATACGAAATCATCGCCGGTCGGCGGTACATCAATAAAAAGTGTGTCCGGCCACGAATAAATGCGCGCGCCTGTGTACACCGTCGGAATCGTCCCCTCGGAAATACGTGATCGGAGATCACGTATACTTCGACTTTCGGCGACCGAATGGAAGCGCGGCCAGAAGCGGGACCAGAATTGCCATCTCCGAAGGGTATCTCGGCAGGCTCGGAGAAGCTCGAAGAGAGGGCGATGTTTCGAGGGAAAGCTTGAGAATACGGGAAAACAATCGTATCGTTGACGAATTCGCAATAGGTGCGCAGAAAAGAAACAGTCTTAAATCAAGAATAGCTATTCTCCCGTATAAACAAGAATGTTATAATCTTCTTTGAACACTTTTAGCTTTGAACTGAGTTCAAGTAATACTTGCATCAACACCAATTCAATTAAATCAAGACTAAAATTCTTACGTTTAGTACTTTACAACTGAGAAACATAGATGTGCCGGTTTACTATACCTATTTCAGTGTTTCGATGTTTTTCCTATATTTGTCGAAAGATTTTGAGAATTATTACTAGCCTTCGTCAAGTGTTGTGGGTCTAACTTATCGGATACCTCTTTAAGGGATCTTTGCGAAATCGCGTGATCGTTGGATATCAATACACGATTAAAGACAGCGCTTCCTTAAAGGTACGCTGGAAATTCGGTCAGGATATACCGCGAGAGGTACCGTAACACCGACATTCACGTACCCATCGATACACATGCACACACTTACACGTGTACGAAAAGATCGGGCCACGGGAGCGCGATAATTTATGCGCACTACCGTGTATCTCGATCCTTTGCGGTCGATCGTGGCGACTGCGATCGTGACCGAAGACACGCCGTCGGAATTTATAAATGCTCCACAGTCGGATCCGCCGATTTCTCTCGTTTCGTGAACGCGATTGGAGCCAACCGCTACCAACCAAAGGTTGCCGTAATAACGGTGGGCGTACGCGTTTTACCAGGTGCGAGCCGGTTGTTATCGATGCTCACGATAGCCAGGTGATCTGAATCTTTCTCAACCCTTTTGCACGAACTCTTCACGAACTTCGGCTTAAAATTCACGATTACGCATGCTAAAAGAAGAATTCGGCGACAAGTGTCAAAATTTCATTGATACATGCTTACCAAATGTTTGATTACTGCGACCAAAAAATGTAATCGAGCCACGTCAAAATCAATCAAAAAGTAACCAAATATTAAATGAGCATATATAAATATATTAATTTTGATGCTTGTTATATACCAAACCTTTCTTTGAAGTGTATGATCAGTCACAAAAAGATTGCAATATTTTTCTCGAAAAGTTTAGGAACGCATGTGTTCAATGGAAGAATTTGCTTTTCAGTAATTCCCAGAAGATACATTTTCCTACTCTGAGAAAAGGAAGTTGAAATTTCACGAAGTAAATGTTTCTCGTGGCATTTCCTCCGCTGTTTATCAGTTAGAAATAACTCCTGACTTCGTGAACCGTCGGAATACATACTTTTGCGAAATGTATCTAAATTTTCTTAGTAATTCGTGTATTATTAATAGTGCAAGTACAATTTGATTTCGCCGCATTGAAACAAACGTTTATTTCTGCAAAACAGATCTTATTTCACAGATAAATCTTGAAGTCTTCTCAATGTATTGAATGCGCTGTGAAACTCACCGGGAAGAAAGTTTCGCAACCTTGTTGTGACTGGCCGTATACCTGGCCTGCTCGAGACGACATATAGAGAAGCGCACTCACCGTGCCGCGACTTGGAGAGGTCGTGAGCCGGGGAGGCCGGCGAACCGACGCTGCCGTCCTCGTCCTCGCTGTCGGTGAAGCTGCTCGGCGCCCGTTGGCTCGCGGCGCGACGGCAACCGTCGAGCGGATAGTAGCCCTGCGGATGGCCAGGTGCCGGCGCCGAGTGCTGAGTCAAACGGCTCTGATGCAGCTCAGGATGCGCCGGGTAGCCGGCGGACGGATGCTGCGGCGGCAGCATCGGGACGCCGGATGCACCGCCGCCGCCGTACATCCGCATCGGTAGCCAGGCGCTGTAGAGGCCGAGCGGCACACCGAAACCTGCACAAACGATTGGGCGGTTTATCCGGCGAATTTATAGACCGCTCGTCGCGCGAATAGATGCACCCGAGTGGGCAGATCGTCGATGGATTTGGATATGGCCGTGTCTAAAACGAGACGGCCAATTTGGCTTTTGATTTAAGCCGTTCTCGGGTAATCCTCTGTCGGCGGCCGCTCGAGGATCCGAAATCATGTCAAGCTCGCCGCCGATTTTAATGCAATTAGTTACTACTATTATTAATACTTTATTTCGGACGATTATATATAACTCGTTGCTAATCGAAGTCGAGTGTTTCACTCGGAAATTGATCGCCCGATGCGAGCGTTCGAGAGACGTTCAGCCGTAAGACGGTCGCGACACTTTTTCCTCGATGCGTCTCGCAACGTGTCTCGTATCCAGTGGGAGAATGTATCTCCTGAGAATTACTAAGAAAGGAATTCTCTCATTGGGCACGGGATGCGTTTCGAAACTCACGAAAGAAAAGTATCGCGATTATCCTGTAATCGGCTGTACTTTCAGACGCGAATTGAAAGCCGGCATTTCTCGATTTTCTATTCGCGTGGAAGAATTGGAATCCCCCTCTTTTTCCTGTTTCCCGCCGCTACTCTCCGAAAATCAGTGCACTTTTCGTCGGGATTCTCACTTTTCCCGGATATTTCAGCGGAAGTACATTCTTCGGATCACGGAGTGAAATTTGGTTAACCTAATATAAAAGCGCGCTGCGGGCAGAAGGATTTTAAATATTCTACCAACGGCTTCGTTTACGACTCCCTCTAATGTCCATTATTAACATCGGATGAGCGAGACTGTGGGTATGAATTCAATTTTACGATTTGCTTCCGCTCGGGCTATCTCTCTCTCTCTCTCCCTCTTTGTACAACCCCGTTCGTTTATTCCTACGCTGCCTTCTTAAGCGCAAATGTTCTTCGCGTTAATTCGCGTCCATCGTTACCACACCGGTGCTCTCATCTCTCTCAGTTGAAAATTTACTTTTCATTTTCCATCTCTATTTATACATCTACGAAACTCATTCTAAGGCACGCGGATGTCACGCGTGATTTTGCGACATGCGTTCGCTTTTTCTTCCTCACCGAGTGCGCGACGGTGTACTCAATCTTTCTCTTCGCGCCGACAAAGTTTCGGCATACGTGCCAATTCCGTGTCGCACGGCGGTGTCGCGACACAATCGGATCCAATTTGCGTACCTTACATAACCCGCACCAGCATTTAACGACGTGGCTGACGATCTAACTGCGTCACGCTAAGGACTAGGCTGAGTATAAGAAGCGCAAGAGACGGTAGGCACTGAAGGTTTCAATTACCGTGCATAACCGTGATCGTAGAGATTATAGGCTGCGCAACGTCACCAGCAGCTGTTATCTTTTCACGTTTTGGAGCATCGCTTAGACACTACGGCGCCTTCGGCTCGGACGGAACCTGCTTCTCGCGCCGACCGTACTCGTCGCATCCTCGACTGTTTCCACATACGAACGCGCGACGCGCTTATTAATTTACGGGAAAAACACGTTAGATGTTGCGGCGAACCTCGAATATTGGGGACGATTCACCGACCTGATATAATGTAATACAACGCGATGTTCGCCGCGGCTATCGATTCGCTCATTTTTACCGCGTTCGCCGCAGCCGTATTTTAAACCGTGGTTGCGACGTTAGCTTTCTCCGCGACATTCCATCCGAACGTTGTAATTCAAGTAAATATGTTATATTATGTGCGGACAAACTCGGATATCTGCAAACGTAAGCTGTGCGAACGTTTTCTGACAAGCGAAACTCTGTCCTGAATCTGTCGTGGACACTGCATAAATCATTCAACGAGAGTTTCAACCGTTCGAGCGTTGGGGGAGAAGAGGTCATAAGATATATGACTATCAAAAGTACCATACAGGATGGTAGGATATGTTAATAAGGTAATCTCGAAAAATATTAATAAGGTAATCGAAAAATAAATTGATACACGCAAAAGTTAATTTATCTCTCAAGCGCATCAGTATAGCTATTTACGAGACTTATTCTCGAGTTATTCTCAAATATTAACACGTTTAATGCTATAACGATAAACAGCACTACAGTAGCCAGCACTAGAACACCACTGAACTTTTCATTAAGTTATGTGTAAAATATAATTAAATGCATGTGAGAAAAAACGACTGTACAGTTTATTAAAGAATCAATAAAACGAGGTAAGAGATCTACGTATCTCGAACTACATTCATTTGCCGTACCTTTGGTTATTCGGTCGAACTTTTGTACAATCAACGGAAATCAACGTAGCAATCAACGCTTTAAATATAACAATTACATAACATCAAAATGAAATTAGAGAAACAATGGAACGCGAAAATGTTTATTAGAGATCTCATACTCTCTAAATTTATGGAACGGTGAATCTCATTCAAAACAGGTGAAAAGTGACAATATTTTCACTAAAAAGCGATGATAAAAATAGCTAACGGAAATGGTGGATATGCATGATCCGGATTTTGAGAAGTGGAACAACATCGCAAAAAATCACGAGAACTGAATACCAAGGTAATCTCTCGAAATACAATCTACCCGAAATATTGAAAGCATGTAATTATCCCGAAAAAAAAATTGCAATTCCAAACGCAGAATATCAGGGCAGTCTTAATATTGAAAAAAAATTAAAGTTACAATTTGGAAGATCCAATATTTCGGAAGATTGTTCCGATATTCGGTTTTCGAGATTGTTATTTTCCCGGATGTTGTTCTATTTTTCGAATATCGGCATTTGTTTCGGCAATATGCATGTCACGAAATCGTTCTCGAAATCGCAAGGGCGGATATTTCATTCAAGAATATGCTTAAAGTGATTTCTGACTTCGTATGAAGGAATGTCTGAATGAATTGTAATGAACATGTTCCCGTGACGACGAAATAGATCAGATTAATTCTTCAATTTCGAGTGAAAATATTTGCTCGACGATTCAGTGTAATGAATTCACTCTCTATACTCAAATTTCTGTGACTCGGTGATCACTTTACTTTCCAAATGAGGTTTTACTCCAAGAAATTTAGAGAGTACGAGAAGAAAATCGCTCGCTGGTGATCTTCACTTGCGAGAACGATCGCACCCCTTGGCACTCGAACTTGAATTAAAGGATCAAATTACGGACGAATTTCGGAGAAGGATTTGGCAGTGCGACTACTATCGATCTCTCGTCGATTTACTCGTTAATCGAGCGACAAATGAGCGGGAAAAGAGGTACACACCGGAGGGCAGCGTGCTCGCCGCGGCGGTCGCCAGGTAGTGCCTCTGATAGAGCTGGTACTCCCGGTCCCGGTGATCCTCCTCCTCGCTACCGTTGGTCCGGTCGTCCCTCGCGAGACCGCCGCCGATGTCGTGGACCTCGCGTGCGCCTCCGATCAAGCTCTCGATCGTGAAAGGCCGCGGCGTCGGGCGTCGCGCGTGCCTCGGCTCCGCAACCGACGACTCCAGCTCGTCGCTCGCCGAGCCGACGTCCAGCTCGGTCTCCTCCACGCTTGCGTCCATGATCCGGACACCCGACTAACCGGCGTTGAAAATCGAGCGGGACCGATCCGATACGCTACTACGTGCGAGACATGATCGGCTCTCTTCGCGGCGCGAAAGTCAACGTTCCACGCGCTCAAAGCTCGAGAGCCGTCGTGATGCTGAGGAACTATACGTCTTGCTCTCTTTCTCTCTCTCTCTCTCTCTCTCTCTCTCCCTTGTTCCCTCTCTCCGTTCCGTTTTCGGGTTCAGCTCGAGAAGCGGCTTAGATCGTTTCGGATCAATCGTCGATCGCGATTGTGCGTTGAAGGAGGCCCGTAGCCGCGTCGTGGAAGGGCAGTGCTCAAATCGTCGGTATCGAAGCAAAGCCGCTGGTTCACGTTAAGGTGCGTCGTGCCGGCGGAATTGTCATTCGTTCGTTTTACGATTGCACGAGATTTTATTCTCGTTCTGCGTGGTACTTTGAGTATGTGACAGCTGTGACGAATATTTTCTTCCACGGCGAACGTTACACACACAATTTTCGCTGTCCGTTCACCAGCGGTCGCAATGTCGTTGGGTCGTGATACGTTCGCGGAGTTGGTCCGTGTTATTATATTATTAGAAAGTTATCGTCTTTTTATTCGACGTTGGTGATTTATTCAACATTCCATCGATAACTCCGAGCGTTTGCAGTCACTTCGACGAGGTACTTTGGCACTAGTCGCAACCTTTCCATGGCGGTCGTACGTGTAAAAGCGTTCACTTCGCGTACGGCCGATCTTTTCCTGAACTCCTCTGCAGGTACACTATTGGTCGTTACAGCACGAATTCACGTAAATTACGCTTGGGATGGTACTCTCGTAACGTGTAAAGAATATCGCCCGAGTAGTAGTAGAGGCGAGTAAATGTAACTGTATCACAATCCTTCGTCGATCTTTCGTGTATTAATTACGGGAACATCGGTTTTAACATGTATTGGGATCAACGCGCACTGAACAAGTTGGGACGACGAGTAAATCACCAAATTTGTCCGTAGCAATATCAAGCAATTTTCCGTCGCGTGATTCTCGCGGAAAGTTGCGGGTCAGCACTGCACGTCACGTAAAGATTGATGAAAACCTCATCCGCGAAGAACTCAGCGAGTCTTCGTTATCGGCGAAAGTTCGCGGACAGAACACGAAGCAGTAATGATTCTCCCTTTCAGGAGGAACTTGCGGAGAATTCTTCGCGTGCACTTCACGTCTTTTCTCGTCTTTCCTCGCTCGTGAGTGATGATCGACCACGACATCGGCAGCGAGGACGATGAGGACGACGATGGGGACCCCGATGAGACTGTACACTGCGCACCACTACACCGTGGGTCGACCGTATGGCGCACGGGTCGACGGGCGACTGCCGAGGGTATAGAGCAGGGTATTTTAATTCGTGATTTCTCAGCATGCGCCGTTCCGGCGTGGTGGATGGCGTAGTGCCGACCTTCGTCCGACCCTGATTGGTCGCAACACGAACCAACGGCATCGTCTGGCCGCGCCTATCGTCGGCTGACCCACCATCTTGGTGCTAGCTTTTGATCCGAAGTGCCTGTGCTCGCGTTGTTCGAGCGCTACGAGATCGGAAGCGGCGGACAGCTGAGGACAGTCGCGGTGTAAAGTAGATTTTTAAACGTCACGACAATGTGACGGCGCAATTAATATTTTTTAACCGGGGCGAGACTGACGCGAGAAATAGCTCGGAGGCGAGGAATCCTCGGTACCGCTCTCAGCGAGTGAAATTCCCGAAAGTCATCCCCCCCGAAAAATGAAAATCCCGAGCGTGTCGGATCTAGAATCTGAGATCGTTGCAGATAAATTTACGTGGGTGGCGAGATTGGTAATTTTATTTTGTAGAATACGATGAAGAGGGGAGAGAGACCTATTTTTCAGAACTTTTGACGAAGAGACCTCGAGACTTCCTACGAATGTTCCATAAAGAAAGCTGTAATAGAAAATAGTTAAAAAAAATATATGCGGGAGAAGACTGAGACAGGTTGACACACTTTCAATATTTCAGTATTTTAAAAAATTGAGGCAGTTTGACATCTGGTCCAGTAGGTTGATTGTATATAAAATACGCATGATCGCGCACATCTCGCAAAAAGCATTTTGATTTTTTTACGACACTTTTAACCGCCGTCGCGGTTTCCTTTATATGTGCTGTTTGAACTTCGTTCGAACAACGTTGGCAATAAATCTCAATAATAGATCTTTATTATAACGGCTAATTGCGATGAGTAATTTTGGAAACCCACAGAGATTTTGACAGGTTACCGACTAATTGCATTTTCCGGGACGTGAGTCGATCGTTAACGAGCTCGTTTCCTCCCGCTACCACCGTATTTTTCTATCCCCAACGTGTTCTCCATTAAGTTATCCTGCCACCTCCGCGAGCGCTCTTAATGAGAGCGCTTATCAAGCCTGACATCTTGGGTGATATGTCCTCGAATATTGACAGGACGCGCCTATTCATGATACATTATTCGGTATCGTTGTTGCTTCTATTGGCACAGTTACCTGCTTTTGATCGTATAATTGTTTTTGACTGCACTTTGACGACGCGCAAATATATTGTACTCACAGAAATTACTTTACAGCTGTAAACAAGGACTGAACAATTTTTCCCATTTAACGAAAAGGATCAAATTATAATCTAAATCCATATATTTTCGCAGGAGATTTCTTATAAATTTTAATATAAGTAACGATTGTTTTATTTCAATTTGATTAAGTGCTTCTGTTATTTAGACATTGGAGAAATACGTCGCTATTAATTTTCGAGAAAGAGAGAATTTAGTTGGTAGTAGAAATATAAATTGTTACGCCGCAACGTCGTTAGGAACATTACGCGTTACTTCACGCGTGTCTCGTGCACGTAGAATTTTAGGACGGGTTACGCCCATGGATCGTTTACGTCGTAGGTGGCTTCGAGCCGGCTAATCGGTGCATCACCATAATGATACTATTTCGATACTCGTTAGCATGCCGTCACCTTAATTGGATCCCAAAATTATCTCGTATATATTGCTGTCTCCTTGCGACCGCTTCTCTAATGCTCTAAAGCGATCTATATTTATATCTTTGATTATGCGTCTGCTTAAATTTAACGTCTGACCACTATATTGGGCCGTACCTATACGTGTGTAATCCACCTTATATGTGATAATAATAATAATTAGTAATAATGATTATTATTATTACATGTTTCGCTATACTTTATAATTATAATATTACGTGCAATAATTTACTCCGATCCCAAAGATGGATTTAAGTCACGCTCAGGTGGCTTTCCTCGAAAGTCTAATAATATTTTACAATTATTAATACTCTTTCGCGAACTGAATCACGGCGGATACACAATGCTTTTACGAGCTGTCGTCGGAGAGGTTTATGGCAAACGCTTGCGCTCATTTGCGCGACAGAAAGGCGGAAATGAGTATCGGCGGGGCTGAAGAGTCGAGCACAAGGCACGACAAAGTGGCACTTAACGCCTTGTAAAATTAGAGAAAGGATACGAAGGTAGCGAGAGAGCGGAAGAGAACCAGAGAGACAGGCGTCGTGTCGCCGATGAAAAGTGTTTAATAAACACGATTCTCACCCTCCTCCCGGGTGGTTGGTTTTTCCTGCAAACGAGAAACAAAGCTCCATACTCGAGACACAATATTTGACGGATGATTCCCGCGAGTTTTCACATCGACGAACACGATACTTTTCAATACACGATATTTTTCCCGATGAATTTTCCACGCAAGCATGAGATTATGTTCTTGTTGTTAACAACAACACGTTGGAACGACTTATCGAAGACAAAATTAGCCGAAAGGTAAGACGAAGTGAGATGAGTTGCTTTCACAGGCGTACTTCATCCGGTACATCATCCCCGAAGTAGGATCAACGACTATAAATTCCAGCGGTGTATCAAGGAGTGGCAATCGGCCAGGCGAGTTTCACCCCGCAAGTAGTCACTGACAAATTGGGGCAGACCACGTCGCGCAGTGGAAAATGCCAGGCACGCGCCAGGTCGGCGCTGTAGGAAGCAAATAATCGTTTTAACTAATAATTTTACCCTCTTCTCTTTAATTACCACCTCTTGCCATTAATGTAATGCAACATATAAAGATAAATCTCATCTTGTCATAAAAAAATTATGTATATAAATTATATACACATATATTTTAATCGTGCGATAACCTGATATTAAGTTCGGGAAAGCAGGGAAGCAAACGTAAATTACGACTTTCCGGAAGAAAATTTCAAATAATCCGAACTAACTGTGGAGGAGACTCAAATTTCACCCGCGTCGCGTCCAATTCGCACGACTCAGCTCGCGTCTCCGTTTAGCGACAAACTTTGAAATTCCGGGCTACATTGTGCGAGGCGCATCGACGCGAGCAAAGGGAAACGCGCTCTCTCGACCCCGGCTTGAGAGCCGCCATGTGCGCGGCTTCTGGTCGCGCGAAACACGCGGCAGAAGCGCATCGGGGACCGTGAATGCTCAGACGGCCTTAAATCTCGTCTCGCTGTTCGCTTCGCGGAGCCCCCGGCACGGCGGGCTCCGTCGTCGTCGGTGCCTTTTTGCGCGACGGAGGCGTCGATGCGCGTCTCGACGCTCCCTCGACTCGTTACGCACGTGTGAACGAAAACGTCGACGCTTAAACGCTCGCGGCCGGCCGAGTTTTAATTGCCTGCCGTTAGTTACAGCCTCCGAGGACGAGTAAAAGAAGGAAGAGAACGAGGAGCAGGGGGGG